TCACAATTGCATAGGAAACATCAACTTCTGTGCTTGTGCTGGCCACAGCCTGGAAAAAATAAAACATACTGTGAGCTAGGATCTCTGAGCTGGTGCTCTCTGTCCCTGCAGTAACCAGCATCGGGCACCTTCCAGGCTACTATCATTTCTGGGAGGATCCAAGGCCACTGCCTACCTCGGTTACCTGCCCTGTGGGTTTTTCCTCCCTTCTAATGTCCCACACACCTACAGCCACTCTCATTGCTTTCTCTAGGCTCGAGCTGGGCTGTTAAAGCCACCCTGGTGGGGTAATTTTTCCAGCCCCTCTGCCAAGCACAGCACCTCTTCCCCTCTCTTACCTCATTCACTGCCGGAGTCCTCCCGCCGGCCCCAGCAGCTGAAAGGTAACAGACCCTCATTACACTGACGGAACGCTGCTAAAAGAGACACGATCTACAGAGGAGGGGTGATGAGGAAGAGGGCTCCCTCCAGATACTGAAGAGTTCAGCTATGGCCATCAGCATTGCTAGGTTGGTCTCTTTCTCCAGAGCTCTGACTGCTGAGCTATTCGTGCTTAGACTAGGCAGCTGAAGACAGGCCGTGGTAACTTGGGATAGCTGGGATGAGGCACAGGGCATGTACCTAGAATGGGTAAGGAACACCCATGTGCAGCGACACCCCTCCCTCCTCGGTCTTTCAAGGGGAGACAGATGGGTCTTCTCCGGTTCCACCACCCCTGTAACTCTGAGGTGCATCCTACAGACCAGAGCCATCTGCGTCCCTGGAGCTCCCAAGGTTGCCAACCCACAGAAATTTCATTTACGGACAAAATGGGAAAAATTTGCAAACAGACAAATTTTTTTATGGACATAATTTTTATACTGTATTAAAACGACATAAATGGTGAAAAGCGAAGAGTAACCGTTGTCATTCATTCATACATCACAAGAACAATATGCGATTTAACTCACTTTCAGTTAGTTAGTCACGGTCCTGGAAGTTTTCCATTTTGTGATCGTACATCCGAACACTGACGCACAATCCATTCTTCTCATAGATTTTTGACATTGTAAACAACTAAAACGTCCAATTTCCACTGCTCCACAGTAAAATGGCTGAAGCAGCACAGAAGTAATTTAATTGCTATAGAATAATTTCTATTTTTTGAAATTTTATTGCACTTTTATGAAATTTACGGATTTTCTACGGATTTTATGGACATGTCCAATTTCAGCTAATTTATTACAGACTGTCAGTAAATTTACTGATGATTGGCAGCCCTGGGAGCTCCTGACCCTGTTTCACTCCTGCAGCCTTCACATGTGTAATAAGCACCAGTCCCACACCTGGCTCCCGCACCCACAAGCAGAGAGCAATTGTGCTCCTGCCCTGATTCTCTGGAGGGCCAGTGGGCAAAGCAGCTGGAGGCAGCGAAGAGGAAGCAAGTCTGAGGCAAGCCATGACCCACCAGCACAGATGAAGTGTAGACAAAGCCACTGAGCCAATGCTCCTCTGGCGTACAAGTGCCACCCTGGAGCAGTGGGACTCCTCTGGGCGAAGGAGGTGGCCTGTTGCTGTTTGCTGGCTTTAAATCTCTGTACCAGGAAGGCAAGATCAGTCAGCTGTACAAGTGCTCCCTTGGGAGTGGGGGCTTGTCCCCACAGCCCTAACAGGGGAAATATTAGCCTGGTGTCGTTCCGAAGGGCATGCTGTCGTCTGTCCAGTCTGTCCAATAGCGTTCGTACAAGCCCACCAGCAACCCAGCTTCCTCCTTCTCTATCGAATTGCATTACGTGTGGCTGAGCTGGTGCCTTGGGTAACGCAGCTGCTGCTGTTCTGGCCACTGCAACACTCCCAGCTCTGGCTAATCCCTGGCGCAGGGGCAATGCAGTTCTGGGCAGGAGCAACGTGCGCGTGTGTAAAATAACAGAGGGCTTGCTCCTGCAGGGCCCGAGCACTCTTGCACGGTCAAGCAAGGCACTTCTGCTTGCCACCCATAAGAGAGTGCGGTGAGGGGGCTCTTGGGTGGGGCTGGAACTGGACACACACTGGAAGGTGGGGCCGGCTATTCAGCCTCTTGTAGGACTGGCCCTGTGGAGGGTGGCAGAGAATGGGATGGGGGAGGAGGGGTTGTGCAGGGAATTCTGCACCGGTCGGAAAAGAGGAAGGGGGCTGCTGTCTAGGATTGTCTACGATGCTTATCCCTGTGATAAGCAAGTGTCCCCCCCATGCTCATGGACTAAGCCTGGGGAAGAATTATCCCCTGCTGCACACAAGGGCTGAGCCCAGATCTCGCCAGCCCCTGACCCGCACCCTCTTCCTTCATGCTCACTTCAGCCCGAACTCCAGTAAGAGACACCGCTCGGCCTCCCAGCCCCTGCCCTGTGCCAGGAGCGGGGGGGAGGGGGGAGGCTGTCGTCTCACACTGAAAGCCCTGCGCTATAGGAGCCGTGTCTTGCTATGGGTCTCTCTGGGCTTAGCGCCGTTTGCTGCGATTATCCACACCACAGCCAGTGGTAAGCCACTTCCCTGGCGCTGAACGTGGAAACGGGATCACAGGGCCCTGCCTGCTGTTTGGGAAACACAGCGGGTTCCTGAGGCAAAAGTCCAGATTTTCCATGGGTGCTTAGGATCCTGGCCTTGGCAAAGCTTCCTTGCCCCGGGCTGATGGGCTGGGGAAGGGAGAAACAAAAGGGAGGGCAAAAAGAGACTGACAAGACCCGGGCAGACCCCTCCCCCGCTTCATCCTCTCACCCTCTTTCCTCTTCAGCATCACGCTTCCTGCCAGCAGTATGGCTACGATCGGTAAAACAACTAGAGTCAGCAGGAGCAGTGGCAAGAGAAGCACAGACCTGGGGGGAGAGGAACTGGAAGAAAAAGGAACAAGAGGATCTGTGAGATGCTCCCCACCTGCCCGTGAATGGGGGGCGAAGGTGGAAATTCAGTCGGGGCACAAAGCTCACGCTGTTCACCCGAGCACCCCTCCGTGTGCCAGGACAGCAGCCATGTCCCTCCCCACAGCTCCCCTCACCCAGTGCCCTCTCTGCTGCAGGAATGGCTCACCCCATCCCCAAGAACTTGCATTTGCTCCCTGACCTAGCCAACGCCCCTTCCCCTACCGCCCAGCTCCAGAGAACCACCCAGAGCCCCCCGGCACCTTGTCAGACTTGGAAAAAGTGTCGGTGCCCTATCTCCACTCTCGTCTCCTAAAGGCACAAGCCCTTCCCCTGCCTTCTCGGGCGAGGCTGCTCTCAAAGCCTCGCTCCAGCAGCGCCGGGACAACCCGAGTCCCCTTTAGCCAGCCAGGGAGAGCCAACAGGCAGAAGTTGCACCAGTTTAAAGCAGTGCACAAATGGACGCTGTTCAACCTCTGCCTGCCCCAGCTGGAGGCTCCTCTCAGTTATTGGCAGCCTGGTTCTGTTGGGTTTCACGCGGCGCTGACGGACTGCGCGGCTCTAATCCAGCGGTAGCGCCATGTGGGCGTCCACACCCGCAGTTGCAACGGATTCATTGAACCTGTATAAAAGTGAGGGTTAGGCCTTGCCTGCACTGCGGCAGCACAGCACCAGTCCTGCAGCCAGCAGACTAACTGGGGAGGTTGCCCCAGGTCCCGCACTTTTGGGGACCCCTTGGCTCTTACCCCAGTCATCCTGTGGATGAGAGGGACCCGGGGGGTGACAGGGCTTGGTTCAGGGCCGCAGGAGGAGTCGCCTCCCCATACTCACCACGAGGATGGTGGGAGCTGGAGCGGCTGGCAGCCTGCGCCGCTCCACTGGGCCAGGTCACCCTCCCGGCTCAGCAGAGGCAGGAAGCAGAGCGCTCTGGCCCCAGGGCCCTCCACTTCCCACCACCACAGAGAAGCGGGGTGCAGTGGGCGGGAGGGTGGCACGGTGCAGCAGGGCAGAATGGAGCAGGCTCCTGGTGCCTAGGTGGTGAGCCGGGGGAGATGCCAGCTGCATTACTCAGGGGAGGAAGGTGAGGGCAGGACTTCAGGAAGGGATGGAGCAGGGACAAGGGGGGATTGCAGCAGTGAGAATTGCCCAGTGCCAGACCCTGCCCACCCCTCAGGACAGCCCTGGCACCAGCTACACCGCTGTGTCCCTGTTGGGTAGACACTTGGGACAGGGACGGAAGGGGTGTTTCCACGCTTGTAGTCAATCCGCCCCGAGAAGCTGTAGCTACCTAGACAGAAGAATTGGTCCATTGCCCTAGTGATTGGGGCTTTGGGTGGTTTAACAGCGCTCAGCAGCGTGACTTTTTTTTACCCCCCGGTGTAATGTTGGGAAGCTGCCCTAACTTCTAGGTCTGTGGCTCAACCTTCCATTTCTACAGCAGGGAGGAAGCGTGAGACACCGCACAGCTAACAGGAGCTCTTTACCAGCCACTGTTACAGGGCAACAGAGCGGCAGGACAGAGAAGAGGAACGCTGAGGGTTCTGTATGGACACTGGCAGCTGGGAAGCCAAGCCAAGTCCACTTCTTAGCACGTGTGCCAAGGGAGATAGGAAAGAAATAGCGAGTTGGCGAAATCGCCATGTCAAGGGGAAGATGTGATGTAGCAGCTGGTGACAGGCTGGGAAGGCAGAGCAGAGAGGGCTGGCTGCACGGATCAGAGGAAAGAGAGAGGATTTGGTTGCTCCAGCCGTGTCTGTTTGGTGTGTAAAGCAGTGTTTCTCAACCTTTTTGAATATAGTTCCCTCTTTCAAAAAAAAAATGGTTAAGTACCACCAGTACCTACAGTTTTCAGACACACATTTTTTTTTCGACTATTGCAACACATTTGTTTAAACAACGTAATCATAGCCGGGCGGGTGATTACATTTTGGGGTGTAAAAAGTACAAAAATAAAGCGCTGTAAAACTTAAAACAAAAATTCAGTTTGCTTTAAGTTTCAGTTGTGTTGATGAACCCCCCCCCCCAGACTTCTCGAGTACCCCTAAAGGTATTCGTACCACTGCTTGAGAAACACTGTGGTGAAGGACAAGGGTGATCTTTGGGGGATGGGAGTCTGAACGGTTTCTCTTACTGGAGGTTGGTTTCTCGCACACGGGCCTGAAAAGCATTGTGAGGGAAACCAATGGAGGTACTGCAGCGAGTAGAGCAAAGGTCTTGAGGACGCTTGGCCTATTGGCCTGATCACAGAGAGAGTCTAGGTTATGAGCGCCTGCAAGCAGATGGGAACTTCCCTGGTTTTGTATGTGCGGAAGCCACCTCTGCAGGCACAAATCTGCAGGCACAAATCCCAGCCCCTTAGGCTGCCTGCATAAACCAGAGTTTACTTGTCTCTGCTAAGGATGCAGAATCCCATTCAATCAGTGAACCAGTTAAACTAGTTAACTGGTTACCCACTAAAGCAGGGGTGGGGGGCTGTGGTGTGGCACAGTGGGCCCAGCTGGGCTAGAGTGCTCCCTACCCATGGCACGATGGGCTGCTCCGGCCAGGCTGGGTCTGCTGTGAGTGGGGGGCTGCTCCAACCAGACTGGGCCCACTGCATCACACCACAGATGGGTGGGGAGCTCCAACCCAGCCGAGCCACCAGTGAACTGTAACCAGGAAGCATCATCCAACTAATCACCCACATCCCTCATCTCTGCAGCGGCAGACAGTAACGTTCATGCAAAGCCGGGACTGGAAATTCAGCCCTGGACACCCCCGCTGACCCAGGCCTTCACACCTCCTTAACTGGCCTTACCTTTTGGGGTGCTCCGTCATGTTTGCTGTGGAGAGAGATCCAGTCGTTACCATCACTGCCGTGGAGAGAGCTGAAAGTATAAGCCAGAAAACAGAGTTCTGAGATAGTCAAACTGTCCCTGGGCTGCTGTGTTCTTATTCACTGCTTTTTAGGTGAAAGCTGCCAGCCTGCCCGTGCTGGAGACTGGAGCCCTCTCTGCACAGACACTCCCAGCCTGGGCACAGCAAGATCCCCCCTGCCCTGCTAGGAGTGAACGGGGCGGGGGGTCCGTTTCCTTTGCCTCTTAGCTGAGCCTGCCATGGAGGGGGACAGAGCCCTGCACAGACAGAAGGTTGGTCTCCACAGTGGCATGGGCAAACACGAGCTGTTGGCAGGGTGAGCAGGGAGGTTGCCTTAGTCCTGTGCTGCTCGGTGCTCGCCGGCCCAGCTGCTTGCTCGCTGCCCTGGCTGGGAAGCTCCTGGCCGTGCGATGCAGCCGAGTGCAGCGTGCCGGCTGGGGCCCTGCACACGCTTTGGCCGATCCTGCATCTGCATCCATAACCGCAAAAGCGAGCTGCGGACTGGCAGGGCTCTGACATTTAGTCAGGGTGGCGTGTGAGCAGGCATGCAGCGCAGTGGCTGCTAGGATAGACTGTCACTAGCAAATGCACCGCACACCAGCGACCATACAACCGGCCCATAGTAGCTGCTGTTCACTGTACAGCAGGGCTCTGTAATGGACCCCAGCAGCAGGGCCAACAGCCTTGCCAGGCCCTGGGCCAGGTGGGAGGGGGCCATGCTCTGCACCCCAGAAGGGGTGGGGCCTTGGAAGGAAGGGGTGGGGCTTGGGCAGCCAACCAACAGTGCCACCCCGACTGTCGCAACCCCCCCCTTCTGTCCTCAGTGTCTGGGGCTCCAGCTACTACTGCTGCCATGGTAGCAACAGCAGCAGCTGGGAGCCCCAGGCGCTTTCGTATTGCTGGGCCATGGGGCACTTGCCTCCTTCCTCCCCCCCTTCTCCCCCATGGTGGGTCTGATCCAATGCGCACTGAAGTTAGGGGCACGGAGCCCTAGACTCCCAGGGGCTTTGGCTCAGAGCAGCGGGAATAACCCTTCACTCCATAGTCCAGGCACTGACTGCGGGCTCCAGATTTAACCCATTTGCCCCGCGGGGGCCAGAGTGTTGGAATAGTTACTGGTCAGATGCTCGCTCGGCGTTAGCAAGGTTACATGTCGACAAGCAGAATTGTTCCCTTGATTTGATCTTCGCAAGGAAACGGCGATGGAAGGGGCAGACTCTACTGGCTGCTGCAGTTCCCAGTGCTGCCAGCCTGGCTGTGACCCAGTCCAGCGTGGGGAGCCCTCGGGGACTAGCCCCTACTGCCAGAGGCCAGCTTGCTCCACGGGGCCTGCTGCATGGAGTGTGGCATGCGGGGCAAGGTCCCCAGGTAGAACACACAGCCCTCCTTGCTACTTCCTGCTCCATCCCCCACCCTCAGCCTGCTGCTTGTCCCCATCCAAGTCCTGCATTCAGTATAGGAGTCTCCCCTATAGATGGCTGCATCGCCAGGAGACCCTGCTCCTGCCTCCCTCTGCCCCAGCCTCAGGGCAGCAGCAACAGGATTACCTCTACATGTGACAGGGAGTGGCTTGCAGTGGTCACCTCATCTAAAAAAAAAAGATACATTGGCATTTGGGAAAGGTTCAGAAAAGGGCAGCAAAAGTGATTAGGGGACGGGTCCCATATGAAGAGAGATTAAAAAGACGTGGACTTTTCAGCTTAGAAAAGAGGATACTAAGGGGAGGATATGAGAGAGGTCTATAAAATCACGCCTGCTGTGGAAAAAGTGAATAAGGAAAAGTTATTTACTCATTCCCACAATATAAGAACTAGGGGTCACCAAATGAAATTAATAGGCAGCAGGTTTAAAACAAACAAAAGGAAGTTTTTCTTCCCTCAGTGCACAGTCAACCTGTGGAACTCCTTGCCAGAGGATGTGGTGAAGGCTAGGACTTTAACAGGGTTCAAAAAAGAGCTAGATAGATTCATGGAGGTTAGATCCATCAATGGCTATTAGCCAAGATGGGTAGGATTGGTGTCCCTGGCCTCTGTTTGTCTGGAAATGGATGACAGGAGAGGGGGTCACATGACGATTACCTGTTGTGTTCCCTCCCTCTGGGGCATCTGACATTGGCCACTGTCAGCAGACAGGATATTGGGCTAGATGGACCTTTGATCTGACCCAGTATGGCCGTTCTTATCTTAAGTTCACTGCAGCTGCTTTCCAGCTACGGTACTGGGAGATCCCCAGCAGCTCCCTGCCAGCCCTTCAAGCACTAGGAGCTGCTGCAGGAGGGAGCTTGGGGCTGTCTGGGAGTAGATGGTGTCAGCTGCTCACACCCCGAGCACCTCCTCAGCTCCACACACCCAAACTGGGGCAGTGAGTGCTGGCAGGATGCTATCCTGGAGATAAGCTGGGGGCTATAAATATTGGTCTGAATCGCTCACCAGCCCATCCCAATTGAGTACACACGGGCTCCAGGTTGGCATCAGTCGGTCCCAGCAGAGACTCACCGGGGAGAACCATCACATTAACACGGGAATTACGATCACGTCCACTTTTATTTATTCCGCACCAGTAGGTCCCAGCGTCTCCCAGGGTCAGGTTCTCCATGGTCACAGTGAACGTGTTCAGGGTGTGATTGTCTTGGATGGAGACGCTGCCCCGCTTCACCTCGGCCTCCAGCCCTGCAGTCTCAATGACCTTGGAGCAGGTGCTCCACTCTGCTCCTCTGCACCAGTATTTCGGATTGCCCTGATATACTTTCTGGTACTGACATGGCACAGACACCGACCCGCCCAGGGTTCCCCTCACCTCCCCTTGGGTGGTCAGCGCAGGGACAGGTGGTGCCGAGAAACAGCCTGAAAAACAAAACAAAGCAAAATTCTGACCGCCCCACTCCACACCCAAGGAGGGGGCACATGGGTCCTCAACCTCTAATCAGCAGAAGAGGCCCAAGAGACTTGTTCCCTGCACACAGCTCAGCCTGTGTTCACCACGACAATGCACCGGACGACCTGACACCACCCAACCACTCCCCAAACTCCGCTAATAAGCTCTTAGGTCTCATTTGGCTTGTGCGGAATAACCCCCAAGATGGCTAGCAGGGAACAGCTGGAGACTGGGCTATACCCCTTTGGCTCGCTCCTTTCTGAGGCTGAGAGCAGGCGTGGGAGAGGAACTCCCGCTTTCAGGCAAAGTGCTTCTGGTGGGAATGGGAAGAACCAAACCCTCTCCCCTGGGAGGAGGAGGAGACTCACTCGGGTGCAGGGTGCCTGCATCAGCCCCATAACTGCCCCTTTCGCCCTTAATCTGTTTCCCAAAGAGCAAACTCTGCTTCCCCCTGGGACTGCTGGGCTTCGAGCAGGCGTGGGAGAGGAACTCCCGCTTTCAGGCAAAGTGCTTCTGGTGGGAATGGGAAGAACCAAACCCTCTCCCCTGGGAGGAGGAGGAGACTCACTCGGGTGCAGGGTGCCTGCATCAGCCCCATAACTGCCCCTTTCGCCCTTAATCTGTTTCCCAAAGAGCAAACTCTGCTTCCCCCTGGGACTGCTGGGCTTCCTGC